GAATGCTTAATTCTACTGAGTCATACCCTTGTAGCTTTTCCACCCCACCCCCCCACCCCCCCACCCCCCACCCCCAGACCAATTCAATACCTGTTAGGGATCATGATACCAGACATTCCTCAAATTGTGTTTCATTTACTGGGAACAGCTCTACTGATATTCAGAGCAAAATGCCATTATTTTGAGTCTTTGCCTTTATGAATATGGGGTTTATAAGAGTAAATGAAAATTTAGAGAGAATTTCAGCTGTGGAGAAGAAATATAAAAAATCATCTCATTCACACCCAATCCCCCAGAGAATAAAAAGAGTTCAAGTGCCGAAGTGTAGGAAGGAAGGGAAATCGGAAAGCATTTATGTGTGCAGTTGTGATGCTAGGAAAGCAGCAGTGTTCATAGAACTAAAAGTTATGAATATGTTACAATAATGAGGTTGTTTGCAACAGCTAGGATGGATGGATTTAAGGTGGCTTCCATAAGCATCTGTTTGTTGTTGTTCCATTTTGTGGAAAACAACTAATGTTGTTTTGATTGCCAAAGCAACTAAATGTAATTTTATCACAGTCCAGGAAAAATGATGACATTGACGACAACAACAAGAACAGCATTGCTTTAGCTTGGCATCACTTAGAATAGGGTAGCCAGAAGGTAGCACATGGTGTACTGATAGATCCAGTGCGGATTTGGGAACACATTAGGTAGGTGTTGTAACAATATGTGTAGGCCTTCCAAGTGAAACCAGCTGAGAGATTGATGTTGAAAGGTGGAGCTATGGTCAGGTCTGATGTGTGACACCCTCCAACATTTCACAGATGAAAACTAGAAGACGTGTGGCCAAGCATCAACAGAGTGTGGTCAAGATGGCAAACATTATCAATGACAAAGAATCCACAAGCTAGGAGAGACTAGAGCAGTTTCCTTTCACCTGAGCCTACCCAGAAGGGCAAGATGCTTCCTGTTCTCCCCCATGTAATATAAATGAGTGAAAACTATTTTTGCATTTTGAAATTGGCAGAAATTGAAGTAAGTGGAGGACAAAGGAGGAATGTGGGAGGAAGAGAGAAATAAAACAGGGCATTTCAGTATCAGCTGAAAAAATAGGACAGCAAAGGATTAACTGGGACTGTCTCTGCCAAATTTGGACACTGAAGTAATGTAGTAAATCAGTTGAATCAATGGGATTTACCCACAGATTGTCTCAGTATTCAAGAGTTGCTTGAATGGGTCTCTTCTAGCTGGGATTAACCAACAGGATTCCAGCCACAGTGCAAGTGTGTGAGGCCCAATAACTTCTCTGAAAGACAGACATACCTACATAAAAACTTCATTTGATTTACATTCAGTTACTTTAATATCAACAGTTTGATATTAGAGAAGTATCCTCAATTATACAAACTGTGTCACATGAAACAGTTGTCTAGGTGCTGTTATGAAAAATCAAGTGTTTTCCATGCTCTCTCTATTTGTATGTTTTCTGGTATGACCCTAAAATGAGAATGCAGTTTCTTCCATGCACCCAGAGGTGAGTTGGTCACATAGGCACACTGGTCATATAGACCTCAACAGATCAAACAATCAGTTTCCGGAGTTGCAAACAGAAAGATTCACACCTCAGAGACAAAGAAGCTAGAGGATTTATGGCCATTCTGTGGCCAAGAGCCAGATAAAACCCATTACCCCCTGAGATCTATCTACTTCAATGAGATCTTTACTATGCTAATTCAGCCCCTTTGAAGTTAGGATCAATAACCTTTACTGAAGCCATTTTTGGGCTATATTAAGATCTCTAAATCTCTTGGTTCTGAAAGCGGGCATGGAAGGGAAGGAGATCTCATATCTCTCTGAAATTCCTTGCTGGTCTCCCTCATGCTGCCTCCATCTCAACTTTGCTCTGTGAGCAACTACGTATGGGGCTTTGCAGACCAGCCTAAAGGGCCGGTCTTGGGATGGAGTTGGGCCAGGACAGCCACATGCCGCCCACCCCAACTCCACCCTGACACTGTCCTGATGCCACATGTCCATCCGCATGGCACACAGTGTTAGGATGCCCTCCTAGCAATCAGTTTCCAAAAGGGTGTGGAAGAGGCGCAGCACTATCTCTTAGGGTGGCCTTTTGCCACTCCTAAAAGGAGTGGCATTTTGCTGCTCTTTTGGGTGTGGCAAAAGGGAGGATCGGGGTCATGACATGTGGTTGCCGCACCCCAATCCGTCACTCCCGGAGTGGCTCTCTGCCACCCCAAATGGGCCATCTGCATCGACCCTATATCTACATCAAGAAAAGGAGCACTATGGTGTTGGGTAATTATTTTGATTGGGAAGCCTGTCTTATGAATTCCATGAATCCCTGTCTGTATGTATGTGTGTCTGCATTGTTGATTTATTTGCCCCCTTAATAAAATTACAATTCTGCGAAGGTTCTCTATCTCCTCCCCCTCTGTATAAATTGGATTGCTTTTCTGCTAACTATTGAGCTAATTACAATTCTCCAAGTTCAAGTCCATTTTACAGTGCTGCCCACTGCAATGTCAATTGGGGTCTTCATGACCTCTTTTCTTACAAATGACTGGGGGGGGGGGAATAACTTAAAACAAATCAGAGGAACTATAAACCAGACAAAATTGTTATTCCATGACTGCTGGAGGGTTATGGTAATAGTGATCCTTTTCAGAACATTTTTTTTTTCGAAAAAAATGAGGGATACATTGGGGGCCCAAGTTGGGAAGCTGCAGGCCAACATCTCACATTCTGGCATAACACCCGCTGTGGGAGAATAATATAACAAATACTTCCCTCCCATTTCCTTCCTTCACTAATGTATTTTTCCTTTCTTGAACCTCTATAAGGTCTCACTCTACCTCCAAGTCATTTTCTTCTTTCTTTCAATGGCTGTTGAAATGTTTACTCCCAAGGGAAGCAGCTAGGCCTTGGAATTGCTGCAAAGTGATGACAGTCAATGTTCGGCTCTGTTCCATTTTGCATGGAGAAAGCCAGGAGCATCAAGTGAGACAACAGCCTCAGGAAGTTGATTCTGGGTGTCATAAAAGGGCAACAAATTTAGCAATTTTATTTGCTTTTCTTTTATATTATTCCTAGGGGAAAATACTTGTGAGATTTTCTTCTTCAAATGTTAAAATACAGTGGGCCCACAACATTTGCAGCTTTGACTTTTGTGGATTTGATTATTTGCAGATTTAATTGATAGGTTCTCTCTAGGAATCTCTAGGTCCTCCAGTGTGACTCTAGGTCAATGTCCAGTAGAGTGGACATTGACCTAGAGTCACACTGGAGGACATACAGATTTCTAGAGGAAACACAGGCAATTCCTATGCATTTTAAGCATAACTCATGGTCAGGTTCCAGCTGATGTTGACCATAGATTTGGTCTGGAGGGCCGAGAGATTTCTAGAGAGATGTTCTCTCAGATTAAGAAACCAACGGATGGATGGCCATCTGTCAGGGATGCTTTGATTGGGATTTCCTGCATGGCAGGGGGGTTGGACTGGATGGCCCTAGTGGTCTCTTCCAACTCTATGATTCTATGATTCTATGATTCTATGATTCAATGCTTTTCCCACTTTTATGGGGCTCCTCTGCCTGTAACTCCAGCAAGTGTGGAGGGCACACTGTAATATGGACAGTTTGGATATTGTGCATCTATACTGGGAGAGTGGACCAGTTGATGTTCCACCTGAAGGAGCAAAATTCCTCCAAACTAGTCTTACTCCCTTCCCACTTCTGCACACATTTCCTTGAAGCTGGGCTTCTTCAAGGACATTAATGAAATAATAGGCGTCTATCAAAGTATAACAGGGAGTAAAGATAGATTCCCAAATCCTGATGTCTCCTAATGCCTCACAGCAATATAGATTTTTTTTGCACAGATACATGACTAGATATGTGCAGAAGGCAGACCATGAACCAGGCTGATTGTGTATGTGCCATATCTTGTACTTAGAAAGAAAGAAAAAAACACTTCACAAATAACAACTATCAGCTATAGCTAGATCAAACAAAACGTTATCCGGTGACCAATCCTTGTCTACTGACCCTCTATTCCCAATCTTAAACAAAAAGCTCATTAATGTCTTTTGCTGTTTTCTGGACCGTGTGGAGATTTGTACATGGATTGGTTGATAGCTGGGTTCCATTAATTAGTTCTTCAATAGCCCACAGGGACATGCTGGGATATTTTTAAAGCTATTTTTACCACATAGTTTCTTCCTAGATTCTTCCAGGCACTAATTGGAACACTCTCCACCAATTTTCACTTTAGCTGTTGCACTTACAACAAACATGTGCTCTTGCTCTTTCTCCCCGCATCTCCCTTTTACCTCCAACAAGTAACAAGAGATGAGTAATTATTTCATGGGAATGCCTATTAGCTCTAAGATCAAAACAGAGGAGATAAATTTGGAAAAGGACATCTTAAGTAGCCTTTCCCCAGTCTGTATTTATTTCAGGTAACCAAAGATATAAATTAATTATGATGAATTGGTAAACAGTGGCATTCAGACTTTAGTGCATGGGTGATTCAAAACCCATCAGCCCTCACCTTCATAACTATGGCACAGACTGTTGGGAGCTGCAGCCCAGTAACATCAGGAAGGTGACATGGTCCCCACTTTTGCTTCTGTGGGATGGAAAAGGGTGGCCATGTTTGTAGAGAACTGTCTTCTATTTTAAGGGCTGCTAGGGATTGCACCTGTATTTGAATAACAACAACTACTGCATCAGCAACAACAACAATAGCACCAAGAACAAGAACAATAATACTATTACTATTTATTATTTATTTAGTCCTTCTCCCCATGGAATGAGGTGGGGAACAATGACAGTTTAATATACAGCATGTTGTTGTTTGCCTTCAAGTCATTTCTGACTAATGGCATCCCTAAGGCATTTTATTGGCAGGTTTCCTCAGAGGAGGGTTGCCTTTGCCATCCTCTGAGACTGAGAGAGTGTGACTTTCCCAAGGTCACCCAGTTTACATGGCTTGGTTTACATGGCAGAGCTGGGATTCAAACCCTGGTCTCCAGAGTCGTAGTCCAGCACTCAGACCACTATGCCACAGCAGCTGTGTACAGCATACATCATTTCAGTATGCACAACATCAGTTAAAAACACATAACATCAAAAGAAATAAGACAAATACATATTAAGACAATTAATCTATATTTAAAAATTCATAATTAAAAATTCACTATTTAAAAATCATCCGAATAGGCTTCAAATATCTGGATATTTTAAGGTTTATCTCTGAATAGCAGTAAGACTCAGACTAAATGCCCTAAAGGCACAAGTTCCTGTCTTGGATGGTAAGCAGGGCCAGCCCTGATTAGTATTTAGATGGGAGACCACCAAGAAATCCTGGGTGCTGTAGGCAATGTATCAGAGGAAGGAACTGACAAAAACACCTCTGAATATCCCTTGCCTAAGAAAACCCTTTGAAATTCATGGGGTTGCCATAAGGCGACACACAGACACACACAGAGAGAGAGACACACACAAAGCAGTCAAGCCCAGTTGAAAGTCAACTCACAGAAGAAAGAGAAAGTGCCCTGAAGTTTGCCTTTCAGCACTTAATGCATGGATAGCAGACTGGGCTATGAGGATGTAATGCGTGGTTAATTCCCCCCCCCAAAAGAAATCAATGAGTAATTTTAGCTATTTTCTTTTCACTGAAGAAAAAAAAAAGCCTTCAGAAAGTGGATGGTCTTTGAAAGCTATCCACAGTTTGGAACTTATTCTGTTATTTCCTATGGTGTTATTTGCAGTGCAGAAAACTGTGTTTGTATGCAAACCTCCCCCCCCCCAAAAAAAGAGTTGCTATTTTTATGTGGAGTAAGTCCCAAATAACAATGGAACATTATCAGGAGTTTTGGAGTGAGAAAATCAACAGTGAGAGATCAGGATGCAGGAAGCTAGATTGCTTATCACCCAGCTCCCTTAGGGCAGTAAAAGTGTGTGTGTGTGTGTGTGTGTGTGTGTGTGTGTGTGTGTAAGAGGGGGATCCCTACTGAGTATCATTCAAGGAAAATTTGGCATTTGTTTTCATTTGTTTTTATAAGGCAACTCAATGTGGAGCAGTGGTTGGAGTGCTGGGGAGAGATTTTAGAGCTCAAGACTCAAGTCCTAACTGAGGCATGAAACCACTGGGGATAGTCACACTCTCAGTTTCCCCTACCTTAGCAAGGTTGTTGTGATGATAATGTGTGGAAGAAAAGAGCCATTCATAGTGCCATTTGAGGAAAGACACAGTATAGCTCTAACAAATAAACAAATAAATAACATCCTCTAAATTGAATATTCATATAGAAGGATTACACTGAATCTTGAATGACCAGAGAATTTTACCGAGGCTGCATCTGCACTGCAGAAATCATACAGGTGGATACCACTTTAACTGCCATAGGCCCAGTGCTATCAAATTCTGGGAATTGTAGTTTGTTGAGGCACAAGAGCTCTCTGACAGAGAAGGCTTAATATTACACACTAACCAGAATTCCATAGAATTGAGCCATGGCAGTTAAAGTTGAGTCCAACTGGATGATTTCTGCAGTGCGATGCAGACTCAATTGCTGAGTAGCCATTAAAATGTGTTGAACCAGTGGTGACTGATGTACTGTTTTTTCCCAAGTGAAAGCAGTAGACAATTTCTTAGACTTAGGGCCTTTGCAGACTGCCAGAAATAGTGCAAATTGAG